GTGGCAGGCAGAGGGAGAAGCAGGCTCCTTGCCAAGCGGGGAGCCCGATATGGGACTCGATCCGAGGACCCTGGGATCATGACCTGAACTGAAGGCAGCTGCTTAACCTACTGAGCCACCCAGGCATCCCATGGTTTTCACCTCTTGATCCAGATTTCAACCAGCTTGGGTCCATGTGCAGCACTTCTGGAATCTTTCCCCTTGCTTGCACCTTTTTAGCCTTCAGATCATCACATAGACAACGCTTGTCCTGCAGCATTTTTCCAGATACCCTGGGGACTAGGTTAGAGCTCTTTAAGCACAACCATAATTCTCTGACACCCTAATATTAGAACACTTTACATAGTACCGTAATTCCTTGCTTATTCATTTCTCTCCCCTCACTGACTTTAGTCATACTCGTGAAGCCAAAACCCACATTAGCTCCACCTCAGACTGTATCCCCATTCTGGCGCCCTATAAATACTGGTTGAATAGGTGAATGAAAAACATGTTACATTTTCATGCTTTTTTGGTGTCCTTGGCAAGAAGCTCTTTTAGGTTCTGTTTATTAGAAACCGATGCTCAATTTCTTCTATAAAATTAGAATAATAATGCTAACCTTCTAAGGTACTTCTAAGATGGTGTGGGTCAGTGGTTCATAACTGGGGGTGATTTTGTCACCCCAGGAGACATATGTAGGACCATGTCTGGAAACATTTTTGGATGCTCATGGCATCCCCACACAGAATTATCCAGCCCAAAATGTCAATAGTGCTGAGGTTGATAAATTCTGGAGTATATGGAAAGGCATAGAACTTGGTACTTTCAAGGTGATTTTATTTTGCAATACACATTAGAGTTTACTGCTTTGGACAGCATAAATAATAATAATTAGGGAGAGTAACAGTTTATATTTATTATGTTCTTGCTTGTGTCCAGCATCATGAAAGCTTTCGGCAAATACTATCCCAGTTAATTCTCTCAAGAATACTATGAGTTAGGAAAAAAAAAAAAAGAATACTATGAGTTAGGAACTATTATTATCCTCATTTTTCAGGTGAGGAAAGGAAGGCGTGAAAGGTCAAGATCCTGCAGCTACTCCGTGTGAGAGATGGGATGAGAACTCGGGGGCTGTGCTTTTGACCATTCTACTATACTGCTTTCTTTATGAATAGTCTCCAGCTTAAAGTCTGAAAGCATTTCTGCTTTTAGTATTCAGTAGGAATTAGCACTGAAAATATAGAGGAAATTTTAGCCTACTTAAATGAAAAAAAAAGTAATTATTGCCTATATGTTTGTAATTTTACACTTGCACTAATTTGAACAAAGATACAGTATATTGGCTGGCATATATAGGCTGTCATTGATCCAAGGATCACAACAAATCTGCTCTTTGCTGTAATTTTTGGGGATTCTCAAGAAAGTCAAAGAAAACCCTGAGAGCTTGTTTTCATTCGGAATTGAAGTTGTCATAGCTGATCAACACATCCTGATCTCGATGGGACTTTTCTTCTGTTAAGGTGGATAAACAGTGACAGTTTGTCCAAAGTAATCCTATTAGAGGATTTCTTCAGGACCACATCCTCTTCTTACATAATTACGAAAGAAGCACTCCTAAGTAGAGTACATCAGCAAGAGATCAAGGCCTGGGGCAAATGATGGGCTGATGGGGCTTTTCCCCTCCTTACATAAGACACAGGGCAGGCAAATGGAAAATGTATAATTTGGAAGCATGATAGTTTCCAGGTCCAAAACTTGAGTATTTTGTTAGCTCCCAGTGATTATTACTTTGAGGTTATTAGTTGATGAACTTTCTAAGCAAATTCTGTCATCCTCAAGAATTAGCTCATTGTTTCCAGGGCCTTAAAACTTGTCTTGTAAACATAGTTAAGAAACATCTATTCTTTTTACTTAGGAACTTAGAACCCTGGAGCAGCTGTTTTTCTCTCTTTGGAAATTCTATTTATTGTGTGCTAGTACCACATGTTGAAGATTCCTGTGGAATACTCGAAACTGCGTTAGGTTCTATTCTTTCGGTCTCACTTTCCTACCTCTTATGAAGAGTAAATGCTAATAGCACCAAACAAGTGTTTGTTCTTAAATAAATCCTGCTTTATCAAGTGGGCTCCCCTGATTACAAATAACTTTTTAAGCTCCTACTGGGCATTAGTGCTTGTCACTCAGACATACATTTTCAAGGGTCTGTGAAGGCCAAGTGTATGGTATAGTCATTGCATTGCTCCACCACATGCAAGCTGTCATTTATGTGTATCAGATGTAATTTGAGACTATCTCCTGGGGACAGAAGTGATCAGTATGCCTTATGCTTTTGCTCTTCCTAAAGAGTCATTTGACCTGCTCTTGCATTTGTTTTATATTTAAGAAAGTAAAACGTTTGAATGATTAAATAAGATGTTACTGTGTTTAGGGCAATGCCCCTCAAATGTTAACATAACTCCCTAGGTTCTTGCTAATATGCAGATTCTGCCTTTCCAACAACTTCCCAGTTTGAGCTCACACTCCTGGACCAGGATCACCCTTGAGTAGCAAGCTATTAGGGAACGCTGAGATGGCTTAAAAATTTGAAATCTGAGCTAAGGATGACATCAGGCTGATGACATTAAACTCATTTTTCCTAAACTATCCCAGTTGTATTATAAATTATTCTTTAAGCAGATAGGGAAATTTTTTCTGGGGGATTGGGGGGGATGGCTCCTGTCTAGTGGTGAAATGTATATTTGTAAATTTTAACAAATTAAATATATCTTTTTAAGATTTTATTTATTTTTTGACAGAGAGAGACACAGTGAGAGAGGGAACACAAGCAGGGGGAGTGGGAGAGGGAGAAGCAGGCTTCCCACAGAGCAGGGAGCCTGATACAGGCTAGGTCCCAGGATCCTGTGATCATGACATGAGCCAAAGGCAGACGCTTAACCGACTGAGCCACCCAGTCACCCCAAATAATGTTTGGTTTTTAATAAAGTCATAGCTCAGTCTGTTTTGCCTAGACAAAGATTCCTTATTCCTCCCCTTTCCTTTTAAAAGGTTTTTGAACAATAAAACATGCATTTTACTGTTTCAGGTCATCAGAGGCATTTTTTAGGTGGTTCACAATTTTTTTTTTTTTAAGTTGTAGAACAAATTTACAATATACTTGACAGGATTTACAGTGTTTTTTTTTTTCTTTTTTAAATTACGTTTCTAAAAATAGCTAAGGGAACAATTTCAAACAGTTCCTCTGTGCTTATAGATATAAGTTGTTTTGAGCTTCTGTCTGTTGGTGAGAATTAAGAAACTCAGAGGTTGCCATGTCCGGTCTTGTTAGCTTATTTTGTAAGGAAATCAAATCTAGCACCTTTCAATTAACTGCTTTACCTCTCTGATCTAAAAACAGACAGGACACGTTGTGAAGCAGGAAGGCATAATTACTATCTGTGGATTGCCTTTACTTCCCCAAATGGGTCTTCTATCATTTCAAAGTCTGCTGAAGATCCTTCTTGAAAAGTAGAAAAAAAAAAAAAAAAAACCCTCACAGATGAGAGGAAGGTAGTAGTGTTGAAAAATAACTTATCCCCAGTCATGAGCTTGGCAGCTCTTAAGGGGATTAGAAGGGTGTATCTCATCTGTACCCGGAAGTCCCAAAAGAAGGAATAAACAGAAACATATCACATGGACTGGAGTCCAGTCGTTCTCCTTGGTAACTCATGTGTAAGCTGTTTTGGAGAAAGACAAAGATGAGAAGAGGCAAAAAGTGGGGAAGAAAAGAGAAATCTCTTTGCCTTCATGCATGCTTCTGTGCGTTACTTTTATTCCTCTCCCTCAGTGTCAGATCAAAAGGACACATCTTTTATTTTATTTTATTTTTTAAATTAGTTTTAGAGATAGAATTTAGTGATTCTAGGGCCTTGCATATAACACCCAGTGCTCATCACATCAAGTGCCCTCCTTAATGCCCATCACCCAGCTACCCCATCCCCCTACCCACCTCCCCTCCAGCAACCTTGTTTGTTTCCTAGAGTTCAACATCTCTTATGCTTTGCCTCCCTCTCAATTTTCCTCTTACTTTATTTTTCCTTCCCTTCCCCAGTGTTCATCTATTTTGTTTCTTAAATTCCACATATGAGTGAAATCATATGGTGTTTCTCTTTCTCTGACTTAATTTCGCTAAGCATCATACCAAAAGCACACATCTTTTTGAACGACCATATCAGTCCCTATCTTGCATTTGTTTATTTATAACTAGAAAGGATTTTATGTGTTTGCCCTCAAATTGTATTAGTTACTCAGTCACTTGTGTCATCTTGAAACAAGATGTGACCAGTTGGATTTGTAGGTGATCATCATTATTGATTCAGTGGATTCAACACTGTGCCTTGCACTTTTCTATTTGGATATGCAAATGGATATTTAAGAGAAGATACTGATTGGGATGTAAAATTCACAGTATGATCACTGAGGGTGAGGGTAACAGTATGGTTTTCCTTTGAAGATCAGATAATTGAATCATGTTCCTTTCTTGAACACCTTCTCAACTAAATTATTGTCACTTAAAACATTACGTCAACTCCTGCCTCTGGCCATTTGGTCCCGGGCACATTGTTCTCGATGGGCAAAGAGTTAGATCAGCACTTCATCCATTAGGACCCTTAACTGACTTTTTTCTCTTTGCTTTCCTACAACAGATTGCAGATTGAGCTTAACCAAGAAGTTCAGAGTCTGATCAACGCTGAACTGATCTACAACACGAGAAGGGAGTTCTAGTTCTGTCTGCCCAGTTGGGTCCCTGATGACTGCTGATAACTTGGTTTCACTCATTGCCTGTGTGGAAAATTCTCCCTATTGAATTTCTTTTTTTTTTTCACATGGAGGACAGTAACAAAGAAGACAACATAGGCTGATAAAACCAGAGACCACAGGAGAATTCTTTTACCACAGGCTTTTGAGACTTTTCCTGTAGTTGGAGTTCTGGACGTTAACAGAACCCTGTCCAGTCATTTTGGTTTTGTTATATATATATATATTTTTTTTTTCTCTTTTTACTTTCCCCACCACCTTGTATTTTGTTTCTGTACTTCAGAAATGGGCCTACAGACCGCACAGTGGCCCAGCCATGGGGCTTTTCTCCTGAAATCTTGGCTTCTCATCTCCCTGGGGCTCTACTCACAAGTGTCAAAAATCTTAGCGTGCCCTAGTGTATGCCGCTGCGATAGGAACTTTGTCTACTGTAATGAGCGAAGCTTGACCTCAGTGCCTCTTGGGATCCCGGAGGGTGTAACCGTACTCTACCTCCACAACAACCAAATTAATAATGCTGGATTTCCTGCAGAACTGCACAATGTCCGGTCCGTGCACACGGTCTACCTTTATGGCAACCAACTGGATGAATTCCCCATGAACCTTCCCAAGAATGTCAGAGTTCTCCATTTGCAGGAAAACAACATTCAGACCATTTCACGGGCTGCTCTGGCCCAGCTCTTGAAGCTCGAGGAGCTTCACTTGGATGACAACTCGATATCCACAGTGGGGGTGGAAGACGGGGCCTTCCGGGAGGCTATTAGCCTCAAACTGTTGTTTCTATCCAAGAATCACCTGAGCAGTGTGCCTGTGGGGCTTCCTGTGGATTTGCAAGAGCTGAGAGTGGATGAAAATCGAATTGCTGTCATATCAGACATGGCCTTTCAGAACCTCACAAGCTTGGAGCGTCTGATTGTGGACGGCAACCTCCTGACCAACAAGGGCATTGCCGAGGGCACCTTCAGCCATCTCACCAAGCTCAAGGAATTTTCAATTGTTCGGAATTCACTCTCCCACCCTCCTCCTGATCTCCCAGGTACACATCTGATCAGGCTTTACCTGCAGGACAACCAGATCAACCACATCCCTTTGACAGCCTTCTCAAATCTGCGCAAGCTAGAGTGGCTGGATATATCCAACAACCAACTCCGCATGTTGACTCAAGGGGTCTTTGATAATCTATCCAACCTGAAGCAGCTCACTGCTCGGAATAACCCCTGGTTTTGTGACTGCAGCATTAAATGGGTCACAGAATGGCTCAAATACATCCCTTCATCTCTCAACGTGCGAGGTTTCATGTGCCAAGGGCCCGAGCAAGTCCGGGGGATGGCTGTCAGGGAGCTGAATATGAATCTTTTGTCCTGCCCCACCATGACCCCTGGGCTGCCTGTCTTTACCCCGGCCCCAAGTACAGCCTCTCCAACAACTCCACCCCCAACCGTCTCTGTCCCTACCCCCAGCAGAAGCTATACACCCCTGACTCCCACCACCGCCAGACTGCCTACAATTCCTGACTGGGACGGCAGAGAAAGAGTGACACCGCCTATTTCTGAACGGATCCAACTCTCTATCCATTTTGTGAACGACACGTCCATTCAAGTCAGCTGGCTCTCTCTCTTTACTGTGATGGCGTACAAACTCACGTGGGTGAAAATGGGCCACAGTTTAGTAGGGGGCATTGTCCAGGAACGCATAGTCAGTGGTGAGAAGCAGCACTTGAGCCTGGTTAACCTAGAGCCCCGATCCACCTATCGGATTTGTTTGGTGCCCCTGGATGCTTTTAACTACCGAGCTGTGGAAGATACCATTTGTTCTGAGGCCACCACACATGCTTCCTATTTGAACAATGGCAGCAATACTGCTTCCAGCCATGAGCAGACGACTTCCCACAACATGGGCTCCCCTTTCCTGCTGGCGGGCCTGATCGGGGGCGCAGTGATATTCGTGCTCGTGGTCTTGCTCAGTGTCTTTTGCTGGCACATGCACAAAAAGGGGCGCTACACGTCCCAGAAGTGGAAATACAACCGGGGCCGGCGGAAAGACGACTATTGTGAGGCAGGCACCAAGAAGGACAATTCCATCCTGGAGATGACTGAAACCAGCTTTCAGATCGTCTCCTTAAATAACGATCAGCTCCTTAAAGGAGATTTCAGACTGCAGCCCATTTACACCCCAAATGGGGGCATTAATTACACAGACTGCCATATCCCCAACAACATGCGATACTGCAACAGCAGTGTTCCAGATCTGGAGCACTGCCACACGTGACAGCCAGAGGCCCGGCGTTAGGAAGGCAGACAGGGAGACTCTGGCGACTACACACGTGTGTACTCAGAGAGACACGCAAATTACATTTGATAAATGTTACCCAGATGCATTTGTGCATTTGAATACTCTGTAATTTATACGGTGTACTATATAACGGGATTTAAAAAAAAAAAAAGTGCTATCTTTTCTATTTCAAGTTAATGACAAACAGTTTTGTAACTCCTTGCTTTTTAAATCTTAAAAAAAAAAAATAGTCGCTGAAGTACTGTACAGGGTTGTACAATGAGAACCCAACGCCAAGGCAAAAGATGGAGTGATTCTTCCTCATGATGCACATTAACCATTTTGCTGTGGAAGCTGTCAGAATAAATTCCTTTCTTACAGTCGGTGGTCAGATGAAAGGGCAGATTAGAATGAACTCATCAGGGTAGGCTAAGTGATGTGGGTAAAACAAGAAATGGCGCGGATACCTTCATGCTATTTCTGAACTTTCTGATCTGGAAGAGAAGTTAAAAATCTCGAAATATCAGAAAGGAGGTAGTTACCCTGATTTGACCCAAAGCAGGAAATATAGAAAAGCATCACAAGGAAGCCCGTTCCTATAAGATAAGTTAACCCAACCTGGCAGAATCCAGCAAGTGACATGTTTGGAAAAGAACTTCAAACCCGGGCGTTGGCTTTCTGACTAGGAGCTTAAAAATCACTCCTCATGCTTCCCTGATTCTATGTGATAACAGAGTTAGAGACTTGAGTCTGATTTCAGTCATCTTCAGGGACAGGTAGGATGTTCCAGCAAGAAAACTCCCTTTAAAAGTGTTACTATTCAAATCATATGTCAGGTTGAATCACATTCAACAGAGATATATTCTAGAATACTTTTTTAGAAGAGGCTAATAAAATAACGGGAAGAATTATATTGAATGGAATTATTTTTGATAATGAGAATTATTTGGGTAGATTCACTGCAGCTATGTCAACATGATATTTAGACCAAGAGATTAGTGTTTGGAATATACTAAACTTGTTATTTAAAAACTATTGATACCGTTTAGACAAAAACAAGTGATCAGCTATTCTGCTCTACTTTATCAAATGACTGTGTTAGTATCATGTTGAAATAGCTTGAATTAATACCTTTATCCCCTCACAAATTTGTCTTCCAATCACCTCACATATATTTTCGTAATTAGCTGTTTATGCTACATTTGTTTGGTTTTTTTTCCCACTCTGCTTAAAATTTGAAAGAAAATTTTGGATGCCAGTCTTGGTTGCACAAAATATCCGTATATACTTATACACTTTAAAATGTATAGTAATTTTCAGTGTTAATAATTCCATGGGAATACATCAAAGCTGGCTGAAATAATGTTTTGTTTTTTTGTTTTTTTTAAGCAATACTGAGTTTCCACCTTGGACTGACTTTGATCCTGTTCCATTTTTGAAATTTCATTTATTCCTTTTCAGTCTTGGATGTTCCTCTTCTTTGGGAATCATAGAGGGATAATCAATCTTTTATTAACAGGATAACATGAAAAATGAACAAGTCAGGGAACATAGGCTTGTTCCCCTAATCTTGGCAGAGTGGGGCATAGAGCAGAGGGCATGGAGAAGGGAGCGATGTCAGTGCTTAACTCTAGATATTTTGGAAGCAATGCCCATCTTCACAAACTATGTATAATTTACTCCTTTTCATCCCTTAGATGTAGAAGGGCTATCGATCGCATACATTATCTAAAAAACACACACCCTTGGAAAATTCCTTTTAAAGTCAAATTTCACCCTGTGTTGCATATTTCTTTTACCACTGGCCATTTTTTAAGGACCTATGAAGTTAATGTCACAATCATTTTTGTTTTTCTCTCTCTCTCTCACTTTTAACAAAATAGAACTGTGATGTGTCTTCTTTGTAAGAGTTTAGGTATAAAATGCTATGCAAGTTTTTTCTTTATAGTAAGAGCTTTATTTTCTTTAATAATGTACCCCCAGCTTATATGTTTTAATCTCCCTTGTCCCTCAGAATAAGCAGAAAATATAACTGAAGTTATAATGTTGTAGAAGCAAGAATTGAAACCACAGTTGAGCTGAAATTAGCTATGAATTAATTTGAATTAATTCTAAAGTGACTTAGGTTTCCATTTTAGTATATTAGCTAGCAAATTTTGGCTGTTGCTTTTTTAAAGTTAATTCCACACAGCGACGGGACAAGACAGTCTGTGAAGGTGATCAGTGTTACTGGTAAGCCATGTAACATTCAGGACAATGACATGGGGTTTTCTGTGCTTAACTGGATAATTCCCTTCCACTGTGCTCTTCCCCTTGGCTGTGTAGATAAAACTCTGTGTTCAAATGATGGTACTTTGATTTTTGAGGGTTTTTTTCTCTCTTATCCACAAAAAAATCATTCTCATTTATTTCTATTGTGTGTATAACCCCGACGCGATATTTGGCTGCTGAAACGTTTTTGCTTTGGGCGAAGAAGACCAATGTTGGAGAGGTTTCTATGACGTCTTATATTCTCAGAATTATTTGGGGCTTACCTGGTACAATGAAGACCTAGTCACTTGAAATGGTTCCTTTGCTAGAAGATGTTCCAGAAGACATAGAATGTAGTATAGGCCTCACTTTGATCTTGTACACAATGTGGCAGAGACTGCTAAATCTAAGATCTCCCATTTCTCATAACATACCCAGGGCTCTCACTTACACCAGGATAGAAAGCACATCACGGGATTTGTAATGTCTTACGTGTCTTAGGAAAACTGCTGAATAACCAACCATCAGTGTTGGATTAGGCTTTGACTGGCATTTTCAGTCATGGGAATGTGTTCTACTCTGTATTTTAGCCTCTCTTGCTGTCATTGGTTCGTATTTTGAGATTAGTCAAGAGTCACAGTTGAAGGTGCAGGCCAAGTCTGTGAACAAAGCCATACATAAGCGACTGGCTTATAAAGAACTTGATATCATTTGACCAAACAAGGTGATCAGATAATACACAGCCACTTTCAGAGCTAGAGAACTGTCACTGTGCAGAGGCAATTCTAAAAGGAAAAGGTATAGCCATGGTCACACAGATCTTATTGATCGTTATTCCAGCCTAGGGTTGTCATTAATACCTATCTGTTTGGGGAGATGGGCTCGAACAGAGAGAGGCTCTGGGCTTCCCTCAAAAATGCATTACCACCTCATTGCAAAAGACAGTCACAGGCAGGGACAAAAAGTGTGTTTCCCTGCCTAATTTCCCCATGTGAGAGGTGGAAAACATTCTATCCCATGAGAAATAATGCAATTTCTAGTTATCTGAATGTTCATTGAAAATATATTAGATATGTTCCCTGAGGTAAAAACAAACACAAACAAACAAACAAACAAACAAAAAAACAAAAAAAAAAAGAAAACCTGTGATGTGACTAGTCTGGCAAAATTATTAATGAAGTAGCTAATTCTAAGGCTCCATTTCCTACCAGTGCAGATCATGATGGTCTTAGTCATTTCACAAGATCACAACCTCCTTCCCCTCTGTGGAGAACCAGCTCTGCATGTAGCCAGCAAGACACCCAGTCCAAACATAAGTTACGGGGAACAGTTGCTGCGCTAGTTTAGGGAACATCAGCTGGAGAGCTCAGTGTCACTTTTGATCACAAAGTGGTTAATTTCCATTGACATCTTTGTTTATAGCATTTTTCGGGAACCTACAACAAGAAGACATTACTTTAGAACATGAGAAGAATGGTTTTGCCCATGATTTTCCTGCTTCATGGGCAAGCTAAGCAGTTTCTTTGTGCCCCAAAGGGAAAGAGATACAAACACAAAACAAAACACTCTCCTAGTTCTTAATCTTTGTCAAAACTGGCCTGATGTTCTTTTTTTTTTTTTTTTAAGTCAAAATACTAATGAAGAATGCTATAGCTTACACCCTTCTCTGATTTCTTCAGCAGGGTCAAAAGACAATTGCTGGCAATGGGGATGCTTGTCACAGATTGTGGGAAGAAAGATTTGTACATGTATGATACTGTTGTTATAACAAACGGATCAGATTCTTGTGCTATGGTTTTCATTTTTCTTTTTCTAGTGTCACATCCACCAGAAGAGCACAAAGCAAGGCCATCGCAACAGGCATTTTTAAACTAGCATGAAACACACGCATGCACACACACACACACACACACACACACACACACACACCCCGAGGTATTTATAAAGATATCCACGGGATGTAAGACTTATAATCTTTTTGAGGCAAGGTGAAGGTATCGCCACTGTCTGTCCTTCCTAGGACCAGTATATATTCACTGAAAGTTAATCCCGATGATTTGTTATTGTTTGAACCATATGTTGATTTGCTTCTGGTTTATGTTTAGTGTGTTCTCACTGACAAGGGACTGCAAGGGCCTGGAAGATTCTGCATTACACATCTTCTGAGACCTAGCATGTCGTACACTTTGTTAACTACAAACTTCACTCTACACTATACAGTACCTTGTTGCTCTATTCAGTAAAATCTTATTTTAAAAGAAAAACACATTGCGTTTATCTGAGTAAGTTCATTGGATTACAGCCAATACTTGTGTTGTTATTGTTAAAAAGAAATGTGGGATGCTTCCTGATGATGCAGGGATGAAGAAAGTAGTAGGATTTTTCCTTCTCTCCTACCTTGAAGACAACTTGTATTTTTTAAGGTCATTTGATTCTTTTTGTGTGAGGGGTTTAAATGACATCTTCATGTTCTTTTCTATTTCCCAACTAGATTGTGTGTTTCTATGAATATCTTTTCAGTATACACACATACATCAAGCATATTGTTTTATATTTGTGAAATCTGTGTTGTTTAGGATAGAGATAAATACCAATGTAGTTATCCAATCAGAATCGTCTTTTTCCCTATTTCAAAACATAAGCTATCAGTTTTAACTGTCAATTTTCCTTACAAATTCTCATGGTACATTTCTACTACAGATTTCTTTATAGCTCATCCACCCATACTTCCAATGAGCATTCATGAA